TTTTACAATTAGTTTTTTTTACAGACAGCAGCAGGCCCCCCAATAAACTTTTTTTTACGTAGTATATCGGGGGATGGTTTGGTAGAAACTGGTCAATGACAGGACAATTTGTAGAGGAACAGGCAGCTTTTTTCAGCTCTCAGACATGGTTGTGTATAGACTGGCCAGTACCAGGACAGCTTCCCAGCAGGCCCATAGGCAGAGACACAAAGTGCAGGCAGCTTTCTTCCATGAAAATTACAGTGCCACCTAAAAGAACCCCGTGTGTATAAACTGCCTAGAGCGTGGCTTCTTTTAGAGTGCTGACTGGCACTGAACCACCCTCTGCCATTGCGTTCAACTTGCTCTCTTCCTCCTATTACCACTGCCATTCCTCCCCCAGAGAAAACTTGTGCATCTTCCTCTATGTACAGCACCCGTTGCAGCAAGCCAATAAAAAGCTAAAAAGCGATGTGCCAAGAGTGAAACATGTTAGAATAAGCTGGCTGTATAGTAAAGGAATAATATAATTTTGCATCTTGGTGCGGCATTCCTGTTGCTGCTACTATTAAGGCTGGGTTCACACCTAGGCGATTTATTGCGCGGATTAGGTCGCGCAATATCGCAAAAAAACAGATTCACATTGAAGTCAATGGAGTCTGCTCACAACTTTGCGGTTTGTCGTGCGGTTTTGATCCCATAGATTTTCGGGCGGTTGTCGCGCGGTTTGGGTCCCATAGACATCTCTATGCATTGAAAACCATGCGATAACCGCGTGGTTTTCAATGAACAGTCGCATGATCAAAACCGTGCGGCAATCACGTGAAAACAGCTTGGCATCTGAATTGCTAAGTTGTGAACCTAGCCTGCTTGTTTAAGTGGAGGCAAGCCAAGCCAGCACCTGAGACCTAACTGGGGAGATTGGAACTTGGCCTCACCTGGTGCAGGATGTGGCGTGTTTACATAACAGATTGTCAACACGTCAGCAGCAGAAAAGGAATGCTGCCATCAAATAAGCAAACGAAAAATCCCCAATAATAAAACAACAAAAAAGAAGGCAGCAAAAAGAGTGACTGCCCAAAAGCTAGCAATCAAATTTGTGGTTGACATAGACAGTAGTCATAATAAGGGCTTTTGGGTTAAAGAGACCTTGTCGCCAGACCATTCATTTTAACAACAACAATCTTCCCATCAGATTACATGTGCATTCAATGTATTTTGTGCATGTTATTTACCTGTAAAAGCCTCCCTTGTGTAGAAATCCAAAAGCCCTGAGGCTGCTGCTGGGTGCCATCATCTTGAATGTGATGTCAGCAGCCCAAGCAGACTCAGAGCTGCCACTATAGTATTCACTTTCGCTCCGCCTAGGTATCTGTGAGAGGTGGAGGTGCTAGGCCAGCACAGATAGCAATAAGACACTCTCAGAAGTGAAATCAGGTATTCATTTCCTATGCTCCTCAGCTCCACCTAGTGGCCATAATGCAGTATAAAAAGACAATACATTCGACCTGCAAAGATGCTCCTCAATTCCATCTAGTGGCCATAAAGAAGTATTACATAACAATATATTTGACTTAACATTTGTTTTTGTCATTTGCACAAAAGGAACATTCACAGATATTCACAGGGTGAAAGGTCCCACAAATTGTTTCTAAATAGACCCCTATGTCTGCTCTCATCCCCTAGCAGGTTCTATACATCGTACAGTTGTGCCAATTTACATGCAGTTTAAGGGGACCCCCCAGGCACAATATTAAAAAGGAATGTGCACACTTTATATATGTATGTGTTTCATTTTTATTGTTTCACTTTAAGCAATGTTAAAATCACTGCTCCTTTAAAAACTGTATTTTGTAAAAGTTTTTTTTCATTGATACATGTCCCCCTGGGCAGTACCCGAATCACCATACACTTTTTATGGCCAATAAATTGCATACAAGCCTTCAAAATGGGGGCATTTATCTTCAAAGTTCTACCCCCATTGACTGGCATTGAGTTTGAGTTCGAATTCAAACTTTTCCCATGTTCGAAAGTTCGAATTTGAACTGAACACGGGGGTGTTCGGCCCATCACTAGTTATCACACAATTCTTTCTACAGAACATTAATATGTAGCACATTTTCTGCATGTGCCAACCTGATCATTGGACAGGCTCTGCATTGACTCTGTCATCACACAGCTACCGTGTGAAATCTCAATACACGCTCACAAAATCAAAATATTTTTTCTGTTACGGAAAGTATAACTTCAGCCAAGACTTTTTTTTAGTGGACAGAATAGGGAAGAGTTGGAAACTCTGTCGGGATTTGTATTGCTGTCTCTATCCCCATCGGGAAGATTTCCCAGGTCATCTTGACAACGCTGGTGAGGACCCTGACAGCAACAAAAACGTCCCTTACTTAATTCTATTAATAAAATAACCTATATTGCAGCTTCTTTCAGAAGATTTGTTCTCTTTCTGTCTCAGGGACACAACAGGAAGTGAGGGGAAATCCCCCAACCAGAGACACAGATAGCAATTACAACCTGATAGAGGTCCAAACCTTCCCTGCTCTACTTAAAACTAAACTTGTGTTGGCTAGAGTCATACTTATAGTTGCTTAACTCATTAGTAAATCTTTGTGTCACATAATGTGTAGTTCCCAGTAACCCAGAATTAACAAGCACATCTTGGTTCCTGTTTTACATGTCTGCCTTAAGGGTTAGTTGTATTGGAGGCTTTGGTTATATAAAAGGCTTGATTCATTAGGTTCTAATAATCATTATTTTGTAACTACTATTATCAGCTTTCATTGCTGAACATAATGGTCATTATGGCTAATAATGGTTATTATACTGTAGATGAATAAATTGAGGAAACCTATTTCCTGTAAACAGCCAATCTGGGTAAAGAACAACTCCAGGCAGAGTAAAACTTCACACCTGCAGTGGGACTACCCCCACACTGCAAGGGTTAAGTGCTTGTGTTGGTCTAAGGCAGGGCTGCCTATTAGGTCGATCACGATATACCAGTCGATCACAAAGCAAACACTGGTAGATTGCGATCGGCTGTGTCCTGTGGGGCTTCTCCTCCGGATCCCCGCTGCTCTCCCTCATCTGTATGCAGTGGGGATCCGAGAAAAAGGGAAGGAAGTGTTGCAGCCATCGGCGGAGGGGGGTGGGGGGTGGTATGGGGGGCGGAGGACGGAGCAGCTGTCACAGCAACATGGCCGAGCGGTGAGGAGAGAAAGACGCTCGGCCAGGATCTGACAGCTGGTGGCTCCCTCTCTCCTCACCGCTCGGCCATGTGCCTGCGTTCCAGGTGCGGGCCATTGCACTGTGGGCGGGGGGCGTGGCTGCAGTGCCATTGACTTCAATGCACCGCCACGCCCCCTCCTGCCCCTGAATGCAGGTGTTTTTTTGTTGGTAGATCTCATTGAGCTTGTCATTTCAAAAGTAGCTCTCCAGATGAAAAATTGTGGGCGCCCCTGGTCTAAGGTGTAAAATCAAAAAGATATACTCACCTGAACCTCGGACCCACCTGCCTCCTAGACTGGTAACTGCAGCCTCTCTCCCCCTCCTCTCCAGAGGTTGAATGTCCCTAGGGATCCTCACATCTAATACACTGTATTAGACATGATGACTCACAGATCTTTAGAGCGCCGGAGACCAGAGAACAGGCTGCAGGGACTTTTATTTCCATTTTATGGGTTGATTTTCTTTTCAGTTACACTAATGTGCGTTTTACATGTGCTCGTGTGTGTTGCATTGCAGAAAAATGCATACGTTGCATTTTTCTGCACCTCTCTGTTCAGTTGTGAACAACAAAAAGCTGTGTTTACTCGGATTTCGAGTTTCTAATTGAAACTGAACGCAGGTAAATACAGTTTGAACAACACCATCAAGAGCTTGTTCACACCATGTATGGTAACCTGCGTTTAGGGTTGCCACCTGTCCCGGATTCACGTGGACAGGCCGGGTTATGAGTCCTGTATGTGCTGTGTCTTGGTTTCAGCTGGCCTGAAACCCGGAAACAGCACATACAGGACTCAAAACCCGGGCTGTCCAGGTGAATCCGGGACGGGGGCAACCCTACCTGATTAGGGCTTGTTTCCACCAGCCCATGCGCTCATCGCACTGTCCCGTGCCTGGAACGCACGAGATTGCATACACAAGGTCTCCTTACATTCTAGGGTGGGAGGGGGCGTGACAGTGGCCTTCATGTCAATGGCACTGCAGACATGCCCCCCGTCCGCAGTGCGATCAGTCGCACAGTACCGCGTGGTAATACAATGCCATGCACAATTTTTTGCGTTCGTACCGCACTGGAATGCAAGGCATTGTATTACCACGCGGTCCTGTACGGTCAATCGCACTGCGGGCGAAAGGGGGGGCATTGTACGGGACCACCCCTCACCGCCGCTACACAACAGATACCAGCCTTCGCGCTAAAACAGCCGTTATAAATGCATTTAAATGCATTTAGAAATGACCTATAATAACATGTTTGTCAGTGTCAGTGTGGATGAGGACTTTAAAACACATGTTTACAAATTGTAATTAAACTATATGCACAGTTTAGCTGTCAGGGAACTATCACATAAATGTTGTATTGATACTGTAGATTTGTCAGAGTCACCTCATGTTTATATGACAAACATAAACAGCTACTATAGTCTTCCAGTACATGTCAGCACTGCCCTCCCCCTCAATGTCACACTTTGCTCTCTCTGCTTGGTGTGCCTGTCTCTTCAATGGGGAAGTGAGACGCGCTTCCTGAGGGAGGGACAGTCACTAACCTGACTGTCTCTTCTGTCTGGGAGGGAGGAACAGACAGTGTGCTGGAGAGACACAGAGCAACTGCAGGAGGGGCACAAGAAAGAGAAACAGAGGGAGGGAGTTGGAGGGAATGTGTATGGGGGAGTATTGCTGCACAGCCAGTACTGACTTCTCTTCCTGTCCTATTCTCTGACTTACTCCAGGAGAGGAGAGCTGGAGGCTGACAGTTCACTAGAACCCCTGTCAGGGCAGGTACAGCTGCAATGGAGGAGGATCAGTCTGCAGGTGAGTGCAGAAATATGCCTATCGTCTACAGAGGATGATGACTTTATACTGCCCATAGTCTACAGAGGATGAGGACTTTATACTGCCCATAGTCTACAGAGAATGAGGACTTTCTACTGCCCATAGTCAACAGAGGATGATAACTTTATACTGCCTATAGTCTACAGAGGATGAGGACTTTATACTGCCCATAGTCTACAGAGGATGAGGACTTTATACTGCCCATAGTCTACAGAGAATGAGGACTTTATACTACCCATAGTCTACAGGGAATGAGGACTTTATACTGCCCATAGTCAACAGAGGATGATAACTTTATACTGCCCATAGTCTACAGAGGATGATGACTTTATACTTCCCGTAGTCTACAGAGGATGAGGACTTTATACTGCCCATAGTCCGAAGAAGATGAGGACTTTATACTGCCCATAGTCTACAGAGGATGAGGACTTTATACTGCCCATAGTCTACAGAGGATGATGACTTTATACTGCCCATAGTCTACAACGGATGAGGACTTTATACTGCCCAAAGTCTACAGAGGATGAGGACTTTATACTGCCCATAGTCTATAGAGGAGGAGGACTTTATACTGTCCATAGTCTACAGAGGATGAGGACTTTCTACTGCCCATAGTCTACAGAGGATGATGACTTTATACTGCCTATAGTCTACAGAGGATGATGACTTTATACTGCCCATAGTCTATAGAGGATGATGACTTTATACTGTACTGCCCATAGTCTGAAGAAGATGAGGACTTTATACTGCCCATAGTCTACAGAGGATGAGGACTTTATACTGACCATAGTCTACAGAGGATGATGACTTTATACTGCCCATAGTCTACAGAGGATGAGGACTTTATACTGCCCAAAGTCTACAGAGGATGAGGACTTTATACTGCCCATAGTGTATAGAGGAGGAGGACTTTATACTGCCCATAGTCTACAGAGGATGAGGACTTTCTACTGCCCATAGTCTACAGAGGATGATGACTTTCTACTGCCCATAGTCTACAGAGGATGATGACTTTATACTGCCTATAGTCTACAGAGGATGATGACTTTATACTGCCCATAGTCTACAGAGGATGATGACTTTATACTGCCCATGGTCTACAGAGGATGATGACTTTATACTGCCCATGGTCTACAGAGGATGATGACTTTATACTGCCCATAGTCTACAGAGGATGATGACTCTATACTGCCCATAGACTATAGAAGATGATGACTTTATACTGCCCATAGACTATAGAAGATGAGGACTTTATACTGCCCATAGACTATAGAAGATGAGGACTTTATACTGCCCACAGGCTATAGAGCATGATGACTATATACTGTCCACAGGCTACAGGGGCCGATGACTTTTTATTGCCCACAGTTTACAGAGGATCACAACTTTTTACTGTATAGGGAGGTTCTGATCGTAAAGTAGTATTTATTTCCTGTTTCAGATTTGATCTGTTAGGTCAGAAAACTTAAGCTAGTCATACACTGGTAGATTTCTTTTGTTCAGCCAACAGTTTCCTCCATCCACACTAAACAGCTATTGTATTTTGACAGCTGGCACCAGCCCCTATTAGAATACCCAAACTTTTGTCGAAGAAGCCTGGCTGAAAATTGTCGACCAAGCAGTGACTGCAGCCAACCAGCTGTAGTCACTGTTTGGATGTCGACAGAGTTATTAACCTTTATTGAGCTGGCATGGCCAATTAGTGTCAGAATTGTATTCAATTCCTGTGAATTTGCTCAAATTCTATCAGCGTATGGCTAGCTCTAACAAGCTTAGCTAAAGCCTCAAGGCCCAGCTACAGCTAAAGGTCCAGCTAAAGGCTCAATTCACATGATATATGTTGTGGGAGACCCTTACCCTCTACAGCTGGTAAATGTTGCTGATCTCAAAGACCAAATCTGAAGCAAAATCTGTGTGTGGACAGCTAAGGACTGAGTCACACTTCTCATGCCTATAAATGCACCTAAGCGCACAATGAGTTCTGTCACATTCTTTCCAGTGGTAACACTCTCATTATGCTCTATTAATTGATGTGTTTTGATACAAATGCTGCTTGCTGCAGTTGAGCTCTAGTTTGCCAGCATTTGATTTTTGCATTTTAGGTTTTTTTACTCCCCTATTTACATCTATGCTCTGTGTCAACTTTACTTTGTAATACACCTTTCAGTGCTACTTACAGTGGCTTGCAAAATGATTTTTTCCTATTTTGTTGCATTACTACATGGAATTAAAATGTATTTTTATTTGGATTACATATAATGGACATACATAAAATAGTTTACAATGGTGAAGCAAAATCAAGAAAATAACTTGTTTTCATAAATTATGAAAAAGAAAAGACAGAAAAGTGGTGTGTGCATATGTATTCACCCCCTTTCCTATGGAGCCCCTACATAAGTTCTGGTGCAACCAATTATCTTCAGAAGTCACATAATTAGTTAAATAAAGAGCACCTGTGTGCAATCTAAGTGTCATATGATCTCAGTATATATACTGTACACCTGAAAGTCCCCGGAGTCTGCAACACCACTGAGCAAGGGGCACCACCAAGAAAGTGGCACCATGAAAACCAAGGAGCTCTCCAAACAGGTCAATATTCTGGAGAAGTACAGATCAGGGTTGGGTAATAAAAATGATATCAGAAAATTTGAACATCCCACAGAGCACCATTTAATCTGTTATTAAAAAATGGAAAGAATATGGCACCACAACGAACCTGACAAGAGAGGACCGCCCACCAAAACTCAGCTCCACAGTGGAGATTTGAGTATCTGTGCATAGGACCACTTTAAGCCATACACTCCACAGAGCTGGCCTTCAGAGCTGGCCAGAGAAAAGCCGTTGCTTGCAGAAAAAAATAATCAAACACGTTTGCTGTTCCCCATAAGGCCTGTGGGATACTTCTTCCCAAGCATCAAAGAAGGAACTCTGGCCAGACGAGACTAAAAATTAGCTTTTTGGCCTTCAAGGAAAACGCAAACCCAAGACCTCTCATCAACCCGAGAAAACAATTTTTTTTTAGGCAGGGACTGGCAAACTGGTCTGTACTGAAGGAAAAATGGATGGCGCTAAATACAGGGAAATTCTTGAGGGAAACCTGTTTCAGTCTGCCAGAGATTTCAGACTGGGACGGAGGTTCACCTTCCAGCAGGGCAATGACCCTAAGCATACTGCTAAAGCAACACTCGAATGGTTTAAGGGGAAACATTTAAATGTCTTGCAATAGCCTAGTCAAAGCCTAGACCTCAATCCAACGGAGAATCTGTGGCATGACCTAAAGATTGCTGTACACCAGCGAAACCCTCCAACTTGAAGGAGCTGGAGCAGTTTTGCCTTGAAGAATAGGCAAAAATCCCAGTGGCTAGATGTGCCAACCTTATAAAGACGTACCCCAAGTGACTTGCAGCTGAGTTTTCAGTTTTTTTTCTTATTTTTTGTTTGTATCAAAAATTATACAAACCCCCCCAAAAAACAATTTTAATTCCAGGTGGTAATGCAACAAAATAAGAAAAGTGCCAAGGGGGGTGAATACTTTTGAAAGCCACTGAAATGCCACCCCAATGCACCTTGCAGCACCATGTGCATGAAATTGCACCAACAAGCATGATAAAGCACCATGCGATTTGGTGCAGCATGTTTTGTAAAAATGGCAGGGACTTCTTTGGTGCATAGAGTAGCCCATTTAAATGAAAATCTCCGTTGAGACCGCAAGACCCCCAGACCCTACCACCATCATGTAAGTAGTCGTTTTAATTGGTCATGTGTATGTGCTCTCGTCGTTTTGTCTTGTAGTTTTCTTGCAGGTATTCTTGCCTGTTTTGTCAGAGCTGCACACCAACCACCCATCATCTCACTTACCCAACACCTCCCGGACCACACTTCTTAACCTGAGAGCGCTGAACATTTCCCTGTTATTTCATTTAAATGAATGGGCTGCCCTATATTGGATGCACAAAACACACACACACACAAGTTGTCACACCCGCACAATTGTTTAAAGGGGCTTAGTCTATTAGAGTTACCTGTTCTGCCTATAAAAATTCACCAATGCTTGCACTTGCAACCATATATATGTAAACCACACGTAAAGCTCTCATCTTCTCACTGCACAAGTTATATACAGTACATCCTAAAAGAGAATCATTAGACTTTGATACGCACAAAAAATGTGTCATATTATTTTATATAGTTGATGCATGGGATATTAGTCATCATTGTACCGAGACAAATAAAAGGGCCTTGTTGACCTGTTGAAACCTGTATTGAGTTATGTACCTACAGAATACCTGAACCACTGGTATTTTATGAGTACCCAGGTTACAGCTGAACAAAGATATTTCTAAAAAAACATTGTGTCTACATTAAGTCATTTATGCAAGTTTCCACATTGAGTTTCTGATCAGCTGCTGAGCTCTGCCTTCACTTTCACCAGACAGGAAAAAAGGATAACCTGAGAATGATACAGGTGCATGTTTCCCTGTGTTCCGATAAAATGAAAAGAGAGTTGTTACAGAAAAGGTGATTAGAATGCAGTGTATGGAGGAATGGTACTTGTAGGGTGTGTGTAAAAGCGCACACATAGCGGAGAAGGGTGTGTAAGTTTGGATTACAGAGTCAAAGTGAAGCATGTCAGTGTGGAATAATCCTCCAGTTAAACGTGGGTGTAATCTTTTATGTAAAAAAATTCAGCAAGAAATCTGATTTGCTGTTGTGGTTACACTTCCAGTTTTCTTATCGCTGAAGTAAGTACAAAAGGTGGAAATGTAGGACTAGAGGAAATCCAATGTGAATGGGTTTATAATAACCACCAACTATTCAACTGTTTTTAATATGTGTGTTTGTGTGTGTGTGTGTATATAAATATATGTATATATATCTCTCTCTATATATATAAGCAAAATAATAATCAATTATCCTCCCACATCCCAACATCCTGAGGCACTAGACAGGGCTAACAACTTTCCAAGGTGTTTCTATACGTAATAAAAGTATTAATTTCACAGTCTTCACAGGTAACCTGCCCCTCTGTAGTTTGCATTTTAAACAGTCACTTGCCATATATTATCAATAATTGATAAATTTGGTCAAATTTCTAGTTATGCTATTAACCTAAATAAATCTAATGCACTCTACATAACCAAATTAACAAAGCCACCATGTAGTACATCTTATTCTTGGTGCAAAGAGAAAACCACTTACTTAGGTGTTGCTATTCCTCAAAATCCCAGCAAAGTATACAATTTTAACATTTACCACTTTTGAAATCGTTCAAATGGACCATTACTATCTGGTCCCATTTTATGGTTGAATCACATTTTGTTCAATTTTAACAGACAGAAAATAATAGGCAATATAGACAGTGATAACATTAACCAGTGTGAGAGAACTGCAAGGTTGGGGCCAAAATATATGTAGTAAGAGTGCAATCTAAACAAACATAGAATTAATGTTATCCATTGATTTGTACCCATCTTTACATAAACCAAGAAATAAAACAGTTGTAATATACATCAGATGGACCAACTATGACAAAGACTGATTTAAAAATCATATTACATATGTTGGAAAGAGGGAATAGGGTGTGACAATGGGGAGGAAAAGGAGAGGGAAGGGAGGGCTAGAGGTGGAAAAGACAGGGAAAGGAGTCTGACTCAGGGGGGGTGATTTACTAACCTAAACGCACGCACGCACCAGGTGTGTGTGATTTTCACACAGCAAAACGTATTTATCAACCAAAAAGTCTCTAAAAGCATATTTCCACTAATGTCATATATGGAAAAATCATGCACATGATGCATATATAATGCTGCTTCACAGTTTAGACATAAATGGTTAGCTCATGCATTTACATTCCTGCATTCATCAACGCAAGCAACACAACATAGAGCTAATTTACACAACATCACCTTGCAATTCATGCTTGGCTTTGCACAACACACCTGCTGGGTGTGTACACACTACAAAGGTGTTTAGATTCCACCCATAGATCATGCTGGGAGGGAACACACTACAGAGGTGTATACATGTTCGTGGTGTGTTTATAAGGTTAGTAAATCAACCCCAGGGAGTCCATAGCAGGGAGATTGCAAATATACACTCATTGGCCACTTTATTAGGTACACCTTGCTAGTACCTGGTTGGACCCCCTTTTGCCTTCAGAACTGCCTTAATTCTTCGTGGCATAGATTCAACAAGATATTAGAAACATTCCTCAGATATTGTGGTCCATATTGACATGATAGCATCACGCAGTTGCTGCAGATTTGTCAGCTGCACATCCATAATGCGAATCTCCCATTACACCACATCCCAAATGCGCTCTATTGGATTGAGATCTGGTGACTGTGGAGGCCATTGGAAATAAGTGAACTCATTATTATATTCAAGAAACCAGTTTGAAATTATGCAGGCCTTGTGACATGGTGCATTATCCTGCTGGAAGTAGCCATCAGAATATGGGTACACTGTAGTCATAAAGGGATGGACATGGTCAGCAACAATACTCAGGTAGGCTGTGGCGTTTAACGATGCTCAATTGGTACTAACGGACCCAAAGTGTGCCAAGAAAATATTCCCTACACCATTACACCACCACCAGCCTGAACTGTTAATATAAGGCAGGATGGATCCATGCTTTCATGTTGTATACGTCAAATTCTGACCCTACCATCTGAATGTTGCAGCTGAAGTTGAGACTCATCAGATCAGGCAACATTTTTCCAATCTTCTATTGTCCAATTTTGGTGAGCCTGTGTGAATTGTAGCCTCCGTTTCCTGTTCTTAGCTGAGAGGAGTGGCACCCGTTGTGGCCTTCTGCTGCTGTAGCCCATCTGCTTCTAGGTTCCATGTGTTGTGCGTTCAGAGATGGTATTCTGCATAGCTTGAAAGTAACGAGTTACTGTTACTGTTGCCTTGCTATCATCTCGAACCAGTCTACCCATTCTCCCTTGACCGCTGACATCAACAAGGCATTTTCATCCACACAATTGCCGCTCACTGGATATTTTCTCTTTTTTGGACCATTCTCTGTAAACCTTAGAGATGGTTGTGTATGAAAATCCAGGTAGAGAGGTGATGGCAAGGCTAAGCGGTAATTCAAGATTGTCAAATAGATGGGTCAAGGGGCTGGGTAAGGTGGTGAGATGATGGGGATCCCATAGGGAATGCCAGTACCACAGTGTAGCTGTGGTGAGGAGGGGCAACTTGTTGTGTGCCATCACAACATGGAAAGGCAACCAGAGGAGCAACCTCAAGTCATGAAGACATAGATCTTGTTCAATCATAGTAGATGCTCTTATAAAGGGACAAGTAAACCACACTGGAGTGTGAGCTAACAAAGCTGACTTTATGATAGAGTTCAAAGTATAGCAAGTCCATGCCCCCACTAGGTTTGGGTCTGCAAAGTACCTTGTATCGTAAACGATGTAACTACTTTCCAAAATAAATTTAATAGCTAGGGATCACAAGGTGCGAAAGAAATGCTTTGGTGTGATGATAGGGACAGTTTGGGAAATATATAGCAATTTAGGAAGAACATCCATCTTCAATACATTTATTTTGCCAAACAATGAGCTGTTATGAAACTCTGGTCCCATTTTAATATAACATTCATGGGTACAGTTAGCCTACTTAAAATGGTTATTTTCGCAAACTCTTCTATACCTTACAGGTTCTCCCCATCCTTCTAAAGCATTCTAACACTACATTTACATTACAATTTACAATACATTTACAAGATGTTTAGGTAGTTCAGAGCAATCATACATGTCTGCATCCTAAAACAACCTGCTAGAGGGCTACCTGATCTTGAACTGTACAATTTAGCTTTCCTTACCAGAAATGTAAGAGAAGGGATCCAATGCTCCTTCACATATACGAACTCCGATCTTGACCAAAATATGATACCTCATATTAATTTTCTTTATGCTCTGCACATCCACAAGGAACGTCCTCCTCCAGAGATAACATTGAGCTCCCTTCTATACACCACCTGGCACAAAAATATGTGTAAAATATTAATATACTCTCAAACAATGTCAGCACAAGGGCATCCGCTACTTTAGACCCTTAATGTTACTAGTAAACAACCTTTACCTTCACACTTGGCAATGGCGGAGTTTACCTTTATATCCAACAACGCTTTTGTGTTCCTGAAAATTAAACTAATTACATCTCTTCAGGCTACGGTCTGGGGGCTGGGACCATGGTAACTGATGATCACAGTTGTAGCTTATTCTGGAACCAATCTCCATGCCGCATGGGCGGAATTTCACCACTGCGTGCAAGGGTGGAAGTACAGAGTGTGCTAGGTTTTGCTGACATCAGGGTCAAGATGTCAGCACCCAGAAATATTACAAATGAGATTTGTCTCAAATATAATGAGGAATCTTTAGGTAATTGACTACCAAAATACTACAACGAAGGTAAAGACAACTGCAGGGTTTAAAGGAAACAAAAAAGTGGGGGGCAGGGTCTATTTCACTTAACATGGATTGAAAAAGTGATGCTGAATTGGAATAACACAATGAAAACTTAACAATATCTGGGTTTCTGTACACACATTTTTTATATTTGGATCAGTAATGCATAAGTGTTATGGGGAATGGACTGACTGAATATGTTTTTATACAGATGTGTGCCCAACCACTGAGTGGGAGAAACGGTTGCAGACACAGGAGGAGGAGGTCATGCTGCTGAAATCAGTACTACGTGATGTTTTACAACGACTTCAAAACTTGGAAATTCACTCACATCCTGGAAATTCATGTAAGTAACTCAGCTTTATATAACCTTTGGGCTTTAAACTTTTGTAATAATGAATTCCAAACAGGAATCTTTAGATCATATCTCAGTGTCACCGAAGGTAAAGTACTAATGTGGTCCACAAAAATCACTCTGTATAAAGGTTAGGTCAGTCTTTCTCAACCAGTGTGCCATGGTTTTGTCAGGGGTACCGTCACATTTTTGCACAGGGTGGGCTGCATCAAGGACTGTCCCCAGCATTCAGAAGAGGACAGAATCCACACTAATCCAGAACTGCTCTTCCAGCCGCCCTCTGTTGTGCTGCTACAGCTGCACTGTGGTGAAGATTACAAGGTAAACCTCTGATGTAAAGGGGGGTCCCTGATGTGAAGGCAGGGTTCCTGATATAAAGAGGGCTCTCAACGTTTTGTATTTTTTTTCATGGGGCCCCCCTAAAATCCATAACAAACCCCTATCACGGATAAGGGTCTGGTATAGCTTTTGGGGGGAGTCACATATATTTTTTTAAATTTTAGGCTTAAGGTGCCTTAAGATTTTGCATACTGTTAAATAGGGTCATGATTGAAAAAAGGTTGAGATATGCAGTAGTGAGAAAATGTTGGTGAACCCATGAGAAATAAATTACCTATGTCATCATCAGAAAGAGAGCCAGGGTTGTTTAATATATGCCTGCTGTCTGATAATCTGTTAGCAAGATCTGTCTATGGAAACTACATTAATGTCGCTTTGTAGTCATATATTAGCCTAAGGCCTCGTTGATAGATGTTTGATTCAGGTGTGGCGTTTTGCTGGAAACCATATAACAGATGCAACAAGAATGTGTCTTTTTCGACTGCACTGTTCCTACAACAAATATAAAATGTGCAGATGGGAAAAGGTGTTAAGTGTTAACAGTCTGGCTGGAGCGGATAAGCAAAGAGTAATAGAAGGGCTTTCCCTGGAAAAAAATGTTTCTCCAAAAGTTTTCTCATCTTCCTGTGCTAGTCATGTGACCAGAAGATTAGGCAGTTGATCACATGATCCTTGATTAAGGGGAGGATTACAATGCAGAATGGGTGACCCTGTCCTTTAGCAGAGACCACATGACTAAATAAAAACACATTTGTTTACATGACTGGCACAGGAGGGATCATAGAACACAATCTTCTTCAGGAAAGGTGAGTATTTTAGCCTCCCTACTACTCTTTATTTATCCACCACACCTAGGGCCAGTGTTGGCAGGCTTTGGTTCATTTCAGAACTGCTTTTCTCCCCATATAAGTCTTTCAGGATATAAAAGCCACTTATGCAGGTCAAACACAGGTAAACTGCAGGTCAACTGTGCCTGCAGGGCATTCTGAAGGATCTCTGGAAGTGTCTCAAACTGAGATCAAATGCAACCTGCTTTCACCCATGGATAACATTGGCACAGGCCTTAAGACTGTTCACTCAGTTTTATATAAACATTTGCTTCATATTTGTGGTTTATTTTGTTCTTATGGGTTTGTTCTCATCATAGTCATGGGACTGAGAACAGGAAAAGCTTTTGCATGCAGCAATTGACCTTCAGACCTATGCAGATGACTAAATCTCTAGATCCCTAGAGCCTCTGCTGGACTTTGGGCTTGTGTCAATGAGAGCCTACATTTAGGATCAGTTTGAGACACATCTGAGATTATTCAGAGTTTGACAGGCGGCATTGATCTACAATTGATCTGCAGCACCTTACTTTCTTCTAAATTGCTTTAAGCTGCATTTGCCATCCCATTGACTTGTATGTGGAGAGCAGCAGTTCTAATGTGAACAAAAGCCCGTCAACGCAGGCCCCTAGAAGGATGTTTATCTTGGCCTTAGAAAAGGTCACATTTGTCCTTCATGGGTATTAACATGCTAAGGAACTAAGAGGAAAAGAAAGGCTTTGGGAGAACCTTACAATATGAGAATTGAAGGGTAACTGTAGTTTAAAATGAATTGCACCATATAATCCCATCCCTAACCCCATCCTCCTTATCCAAAACAAAATACTAACCAATAGACTACAGATTAGTTTAGTCATATAAGTTTCTTATGACCTTCAGTTGGGTCCTATGGGCTACAGCATTTTGAACTTTGCCCCTTACATTAATAAATACAGCTTAATAAAGTTATTCTGGCTATGTAAACAGTGATTTCATACAATTAACATTCAAGCATCTGTTCTGATACTCATAACATTGAATGCAGAGCTACCAGTTTAAAATGAGCATTTCTGAAGAGATAATAATAACAATATAGAAGCTGATTATATGGCAAACTGGGCTGTTAAAGACTTGATTTCAAGTATATGTAAACCCAATAAATCACATATCATATACATTTTAACATGTTCATATGCTTTTAAAAGTAGTTTTCAATATTTTTTTCAACAGTAAAAAAAAAAATTGAAAAATATTTTTTCTTTTTTTTTTTTTAAATCTGCAGCTTTTATTAAAGTATATCTAAAGCCAATAAATTGTGTTTGTTTTAGATAAAGTGCTGAAGGATTGAAACCCCTGACAGATTTTTATTACTGCTTGTGTTCCTTTTGGGAAGATTTGCCATGTCTATTTGTCCTAGTAACTGACACTGCCACTGAAAGTAAAGGGACAAAATCAAATTTCAAGTTGTCACTGGAACAGCAATAGAGGAGAAACAGCAACACTTCTTCAGGCGAGAACTATAGAGCATTTCCTCACTTAGGACATATTTCCTGTCACTTCCTGTTAGATCGCTGTCTATAGGACATGAAGTGAAGGTAAATCTCCTCAATTTGACAAAGATGGCAACGCACCAGATCACATTGCGGCCGGTTTACTTGGTTGTAGGCAGAAGGGGAAGTGGCGGTGCATTGAAGTGAATGGCATCGAAGCAACACACCCCGGCCAAAATGCGATCAGCCGTACGGGAACACAAGACACATCAATGCTGCAAGCACTATTTTTTATGACTGTACCGGAACACAGGCATTGATGTGCCACGCGTTCCCGCGAGGCCGATGGCATTGCAGGCGGAGGGCGTGGCTGCGGTGCCATTCACTTCAATGCACCGCCACGCGCCCTCCCACCCTAAAAACAAAGTGATCCGGCCGTAATGCGATCCAGAACGCACTGTGGCTGGTGTGAACTAGCCCTCAATCTAAAGCTGGCCATAGAAAGCCAGATATCATCTTGTTAAAGTGACAATAAACTCAGAAGTTAAATAGTTACATAGTTACATAGTTACATAGTATTTGAGGTTGAATAAAGACATTATTCCATCAAGTCCAACCTATTAGGATCTCATTCTAGGAGTACCCGTACCCCTGTATATTACGGTCCCTTAAGAAATCGTCCAAAAGTTTCTTGAACAATTCCACATTATTTGCTGAAATCACCGCCTGTGGCAGTGAGTTCCAGACCCTAACTGATCTTACTGTGAAGAACCCCCTTCGCCCCTTGTGCTGGAATTTTTTTCCCACCAATTTTAGGTGATGGCCTCTAGTTTTTGTAACGGAGTTAATTTTAAACAGTTTATCGCTAATGTTGCTACCACCATTAAACATTTTGTACATGGAAATCATATCCCCCCTTAATCTCCTCACCTCTAATGTGAACATGTTTAAATTTAGTAGCCTCGTCTCGTAGCTCTGGTCCTCCATACCCCTAATTAGTTTGGTTGCCCTTCGCTGGACTTTTTCCAACTCAAGGACATCTTTTCTTAGTACTGGGGACCAGAACTGGACCGCGTACTCCAGATGAGGTCGAACCAATGATCTATAATATAAAAATAAATATTAAATATTATATAATATTAAAAATAAATTCAAGTGCCTTAACTATTAACAAAAATGTAGCTTAGTTGTGGATCATTGAATTTGTGCTGCACTGTCCTTCCAGTGATCGCCTGCACTGGAATGCATGGCAAAACAATGCCTGTGTTTTCCGGTCCAGTGCGATCACCAAAAAATAGTTCATGCAGCATTTTTTGCAATCACACTGGCTGTGGTGCCATTGTCTTCAATGCACAGCCACCCCCCTCCTGACCTCGAATGCAGGGGGGAGTTTAGTGTGTGTTTCAGCAGCTACCTCTCCGGGAACGCACTGTAATTGGTGTGAATAAGCCTAAAACCCTTTTATACCTTGACATACATTGCTGTAATTGTTTTTTATTTACACTGTGGCTCTTCTGACTCCTGTAATTGTAACAGCTTGTTTACACCCTTGTCCATAATGCAAGGGATAGCATACACAAAGTCTCCTTGCGTTCTGGGGTAGGAGGGGGCCTGGCAGTGCCATTCATGTCATCAGCTGCACCAGAACGCATGGTGATACATTGCCCTGCGTTTAAGTGTGGTGCAATCACAAAATATTGTGCACACTTTTTTGCAGGCCGGGTTTGTCTGCAGTTCCATTGACATGAATGGCACTGCCAGGTCCCTTCCCACCCCAGAACGCAAGGAGACTTTGTGTATGCAATCCCTTCAGTCATTAGCATTAACTTTTTTTTTGATCGGGGGGGAGTTTGTGGGGGGGGGGCCCATGCACAACTTTGCTATGGGGCCCTGTGATTTCTAGTTACGCCCCTGTTTAGTTATTTTCAGTGGTATGATTTAGTGGTGAAAATTATTAGTGCCCCCCCATTTTGACTGTGGTATCTTATGTGCCCCCCCTATATATTGTTCCTAGAGTCGCCACTGCTGATCGTTTTTTCTTTTTTTGGTTGTTAATATTGGTCATTTCATCAGGTGAATGAGTTTATATAGTGTATGACATTTTTAAGATTAAAAATAAAATTATTTCAGTATATGCCATAACAAATTTTAAATTTAACCCTAAAACAGGCAATTCCAGCTTCTCTGTGGTGCAGTCTGTAAAAGATGCCATTACACCATCAAATACCTGCAGGTAATAACATATGTATGCTTTTTATTTGTTATAATAATTATGGATTGCAAAAGTTAACGATATTCATGGCCAGAATCAAATTAAAGTACAATCCAAACAATTTTGATATAGTTATATAATATTCATTGAATTTCAAAGTATACACTGCTCAGACAACACCGACCCAACCAGTCACATTAATCAGGTGCAGGCTCCAAACATACATGATGGCGTAACAAAATCCTGAAATTCCAACGTAGAACCGCACATCCAAAACTTAGTAAAAAAAAATCTGATTTATTGAAAGTTAATACCATCCAAGTATACACTAAAATCACTCCATACCAATCCTATAGGCTCTCAAGCGTTCCACTAGATAGGCTTAATCAAAGATGATTGAGCCTGTCTGGTGGAATGCGTGAGAGGCTATAGGATCAGTGTAGGATGATTTTACAGTGTACTTGGACGGTATTAACTTTCAATAAATCTGATTTTTTTTTTACTAAGTTTTGGATGTGCGGCTCTACTTTCGAATTTCACAGTTATATAATAGTTTGACTATCTCTGAGCATAAATATTTGCACTGCATGAGCTCTGACCACTGGATCATCAACTGGACCTTTGGAACATTATCCTAAAATTACCTTAATCTCTGATTAAATGTCCACTTGCCTATAAATGTATTTTATCCTCTCTTCAATTACTACTTAAGTAGGGTATACAGTACACAATACGAAATTCACACAGTGGGTGCCACTGTCAGAACCCTTCCGCTCACCATCCCTTGATCAGCAGATCGAAGGAGCAGGTCGGAAAATCTTCAGCTGCTGCAAGCTCCATTTGGGTGTCCCGGCAGCGGCTATTCGGTATGGGTGGAGGAATCTGTTCTATTTTCAGCCCGCAGGTTGAACAAAACAAAATAGAACCGTGTATACCTGGCTTCGAAAGGTAAATGCGCCAGATCTTGCACAATTCCCATTTCATGTATTAGCAGTCACAGTAACCATCTGTCATTTGTTTGTGTTGCTTCTCCTTAAAAAAAACAAAAACATAAAAAAATATAAATCTGCATATTATAGGTTCAGGAACCATCATATATTTCAAAAGCAGTGACATTTGTAGCTTTAGAACATCTGCTGCTGCTGGACACAAAAGGTGGCAATGGGCAGATGTGAATAGTCAAGTTAAGGACAGATTCGAGCTTACCAAAATCAATACACACCCAAATGTTGTAGGTGCAAACCTAGAAATTGTAAATATGACTTAACCTTCTCAAATCAATATAAAATTGAAATCTGTAAACTGCACCAAGGAACTGCAAGGAATTTCTCAGCCACATGCACTGCAAAGTTCTGGTTACTACGGTAATAGTGTAAACTGAGTGCCAGTAAACTCTCCCACAGATGTCAGCATTTCAATACTTGACATCAGTTCTTACGCCATAATCCATCAAAAAAACATCTTCAAGAATGAGACAGTTAGGTTTGGTGATGACTAAAAGGGATAGTTTTTATTTATTTATTTATTTATCATTACAGTAAAAAATAGACAAATAAGCAACAAACAGGAGAAGAAAAAAGAAAAAAAAAATCTCACTTGTGTGTAGAGCTCCCTAAAAGTGAAACTAAGTGAAAAGAGTAGATTCAAAGCTGTTGAGGTAGATAGGTGACAGGAACCCATACAGTCATTGCAGTATAGGAAAGGATACGGGGTGCCTTTCCTATGTATTAAGACATGTTACTTACTTCTTCCGTCCATTTAATACTTGCCTCACAAAAATAAAATAAAAATGCTTTGTTACATCCGGAAAAAAGGAAGGCCAGGGCCAAAAAGGCTGCTTTATTACTACATTATCTATAGTAACAGTAAGTAATCATTTGCAAATATTAATTTGCCCTTTTTTATTTCCAATATGCAACATTGAAGCAAAGCCTTACTATGACTTCTCCAAATTAATTGGGACAAATACCTGTGGGCCAGGAATATACGTTGTCTTCCAATACTCTCCCCAGAGAACCCAGATGATACAGCAATGCCAAGACAGGCAAGGAAATAGAGTAAACAACGCTATTATTGTCTGTCCAGAAACAAAAGCATTTATTGTTCAAATGCTACCCCCAGAGTTCAGTAGCCACACAATGTGGTACAGTTCTAGGAGAGTTAAAGGAGAACTATGGGGTCAGTGTTTTTCCCCATAGTTCTCCTTAGGGTAACGGGAGGACACAAACTAGCGTCCTCCCGTTACACTAAGCTCAGTATACCGCGAGCTACAGCTTGCGGTATACTGAGACGCCGCAGCCGGAGCGGATCCCGACTTAGACAACGGGATCCACCCAGCTGCGTGAGTGACAGCTGGCTCTGCCTATCTAGAGGCAGAGCCAGCTGTACCCGCCCCCTCCCCCGTCCGTTCCGACAGTCAGCGCTGGCAAATCGGAGCGGGGAGGGGGGAATCCAGCCCCTCCCCTGTCACGGCAGAGAGCTGTGACAGGATCGAGAGGTGAGCGAACGCCGGTATATGTTCGCTCACCTCCCGATCTACTGAGCCGACCTGTGACAGTCTCATTGTCACAGGTCGGCTAGAACTATGAGGTGAGTGAAAAGCACTCACCTCATAGTTCTCCTTTACGTTTTATTTATACCTTTTTCCACCTAATGCCAGGCCCGGCTTCAACACACAGACAGGACTCGCTATTCGCCCCTAAACATTTTGAGCCTGCAGCATAAAGTCATGTGAACATTGAACACACAGATCCAAGATCTTCTGTTGTAATCTTTCAGAAACCAT